TAAGTCAGCAGTCAGAGAGCGAAAATTATCGACGATCCCAGTCTCCTTGAATTTGAATAAGAGCCGGTCATTTGGGACCTTGTCAAAAGCTTGGCTGAAATTAACACATATCAACAAGACGATTGTTAGCATCCATTTACTTCACCCACTTCTCGCGGGCGACAGGCAGGTTGGTGATACAGAAGCCTTCCTAAATGTGTGCCGAGCAGAAGGAATGATATCCAGAGCCCCTAATTGAGGCTGAATGACCCATTCCTTTTGTGGGCTTGCAAATGATCGACATCGGCAAGTCGGTCGGTATTTACAAGGATTCCATCGGTTTCATCGTCTGAGGATAGACTGGAGGCGACCAGCTTCGACGGAGTGTCGAAACATCTGACAGATTGAGTCTGCTATGTGCTCAGCCACTGTCTTGAGGAACAACGGGTGTAGATCCTAAGGGCCCGACAAACAGTTCGGATCCAATTCCCGAAGAAGTCTATACATCTCGTTCTTGGTAATTTCGATGGAAAGTAAGGATTTATCGACACATAGTTACTGATCAGCGGGATCTAAACATAGTACCTTGAGAAATACTGCAAAGCTAGAAGGCAAACTTTCGCCTCTTTGCCATGAAGTATAGCTTGGTCTTCTTGCAAATACAGAACAAGCTTACCACAACCCACTTAGTACTTATTTTCAGGCACGAGAAGTTTCTTACAAGGCCACCCCGGTATGGCTTAGCACAGCGACACCAATACAACTCCCGCTTCTCGCTTTCACACCATGTACACAAATTTCTGCTCACTTGGCAATCGCAGTAGTCAGATGCCAACTGCGAGAACTTGGATCTATCCCAGGGCTTTAGTCTTATATGCAGTAGGGATCTCAGTTCCCTATCAATCCAGGGATAAGGTGCGAAAAATGTTCTTATGGCAAACGTTGGTGAAGTTCATCAATAGGAAGCATCCATTTGGAGCGTAGGAGGTTCCAAATAGTATCGGGATGTGAATGCTGGAGAGTGTTCAAATCCACAGGACATGTCGCCATTTGTAAGTGGAGTGGGTTAGCAAACCAGAAATACAGGCGAAATACCACTGAAGTTGGATGGCAGGTCATCGTGACCATAGAAAGAAAAGCACACAATGACCACTTGACCCAAGCGGCTGGAGAACCTATAAAGCACGTACATCATAGGACTGAAGTATGAGCACAAGATCAAACATGGGTGCCGACTGTCCCAGAATAATCCGAGTGGGTGACGAGACATGTCGCTCAACTCTCTTCGAGAGCACATTCGAGTAGAGCACATAGAAGTGCTCTGGTGAGAGATCATAGTGAACCAAATTTTAGTTGATGTCAGATTGAACTTAGATCCGTTACAGAAAGGAACTCTTGGTAGTTGATGGAGCCGTATTATTTGTATTTGACAAGTGAAAATTTGAACATGAATTCAGAAAAAGGCATAAAATTCCAGAACGTAAAGCTCGTTAAAAGAAGATGCAATGCGGTTATGTGCCATGCCTAAGAGGTAGTTCACGTTCGAAGTCTGCACGACGATAATTAGAGTTTTCCGATAGCTCTTTGCAGCACGTAGTGTTTTTTTCGAGCAAACGCAGCACTCCGAAGTACTCAGGCACATAATATCTGTCACAGTTAAAACGCCCTTTCCTCTACTTCGGATATTAAATTCAACTGAATGGGACGCTGATAGTATGCAAACGCTTCCAAACTAAAAAGAGAAACATATCAGCAAGCCTTTCCATGATGTTTTTAACTTGACATCAGAGTACTTTTCTCTTCATTCTAATTATTACTTAAGGGTGATTTTAAAGGCAGTAAGAACAGATGGATAACGAGTTTGATCATCATACTAAGTCATGAAATAAATTTCCAGTTCATGTAAACCGGACATGCAGACGAACTACGCTAGTGGTTGCCATGCCCTAAGAAAAGGGATTGCCTCCAAAGTTACAACTAGCATTCGCTTGGCTTAGCCGGGATGTTTATATATCTCGTAACGACGTGTCGCTCAATGCTAATCCATCGTGGGGGTTGTCGACAACATGCGGTAATAGAACTGGTGCAGTGGTTCAGAGGCGCCCCATTTTCGCATGCTAGACCCACTATTTACTTGCTCTAGTTATTTGAAATATAAACGGATTTGTTGATAACTTAGGTTGAACTCGATTGCGGGCTTTTCGGGCTTACGAGAAACCCGTCTAATCCGCCCGTTCGGTCTTAAAATGCTATCTTACAATGTACTACTTGATATACATCAGTAACTAACCATTCAATGCAACAGAAATAGCGACCATGTGCTTTCCATCGTTCACCACAGGAGTAATGGGCGGATTCACAACCGTCACAGTTTGAGAGTAATACCGATTTTATTACAGGTTTAGGCTTGACTAGACCTTCAGGCAGGAACCTTCAGTTCAAAGAACAGGCCGAGAAATGTGAAGTTGATTCGCTCTGAGTTTCTGTTTGTGTTTCAGGAGATATCATTAAATATAAGGTAACACAACGGTGGTGATTATATTGTGCAGTCTATCACTAACTCAATCAGGTAGGATGTAGGCGGACAAATTTAGATCCCAACTATTGGCTGCCTTTTGCATAACTTTTGCAAAGGCGAGGCCATGATTTCCATGCCGTCGCTGAACATGGCTTTGAGAGTACCCTGACCAAGAGAAGGTACTGATAAAATCACTTCCTTCAAAGCAACACAATAACTAATATTCAGCTTCAGTTGTGCGTGACTGCTTTAGTCCCTAGTAGTTCATTTGCCACGTTAATTTGTTTAAATCTAAACGTTTTCGCGATCAGGTGGATTTGCATTTCAAAGCGTTAGCTCTGCATTAAATGACATTATTTTACGAACACAGACAACGCTAACAATGCACTTCGACTGGCAAGACAGGCAATCATAGCGCTGAAGATACTAGCATTTTCTTGGTGGAAAAGACGAGTTCTTGCAGTTAATCTACACCATAAACACAGATGCAATGCAATAGAGTCAATAAAATAAGAATAATAATATTAATAATAAGATGAATGCAGTGTGAACACCCCACTTCTTAGTATACGACTCTAATTTCGCTGGTAAGTAGACATTGAAGAAAGGAAGAAAGAAAAGTATGTTACCGGCGTGTTACGTGAGTTATAGTTTTTCTGCAAGTTCGTACTCTTCAACAAACACAGTTGTTCCAATAAGAGACCCATCATTTGAATCCAAATTCACTGAAATGAAGGCATTGTTTGCGCATAGTATACAACCGTCTGATAAACAAATGCCAGTAAAACACGCAACCCAAGTACTGTGCCAGACGTTCAAAGGTTGTGTGTTTTGTAGGATAGGCCGTTTTGTTCTGCGACCAACGATGTAAACATGTACCAAGTGAGTGTATTCCTAAGTAAGGTGAGTTTCCCTATTTTTAGAGAACTCCTGTATGATCAAAACTGTTGAACAATGAACAATGATTTATAACGGGTAAAAAAGCAGGTGCTTGGCATGTCCCGTAGGGTGGTTAGAGTGAGAAAAAATAGATCAAGGGATAATGGAATCGTCGGTTCCGGCGATTACAGATTTATCTTCACTGCCGTATAAAAAGTTTGAAATTAGAAAATGCGCACACAAATCAATAAGGGGAATGATTATTGATCACGTAATAAGAGAGAAATATAAAAAATATAGCAAGGACAACGCGTACTCGTGTGCAACTATCTTAGGTCGACGGGATACAGGAGTCCAGTTTCTACAGCAGTAGCGTTTATCCAATCGTATGCAAAGCGTTTGCAGTGACTCATTCTCGAGTAGGGTTATGGCATTGTCCACTGTCTGTTGTGCGTTAATGTCAGCATCTGGTGGTCATGGGCTATAGCACATAGTGTAGAAGTGACAGAGTATCCTCAAGCTGTTTTTGAAAATGGATAGGGTGGGAACATTAATTACATGTTCCGGGAAGGCTTTCCAAAACTGTGACACTCGAATAGAAAAATAGCTTCGCCGACATTCCAGGCGATTGTACTGCGTGGCCAGCCTTAATTGATGACCTCATGATTCCACTTGGTATAATCACTTAACTCGGCAGTGTGGCTGTTCTGGCAAACCCTTTTCGCTGATGGGATTCGGTAGTTATTTAACATAATTTGTAGTTTATTTGCACTAGAAAAAGAAAAAATATTTTGTCGCTTTGCTACGTGCAATGTGCCGAACGGGACAGGTCCCCACAAAACTAGCTGGAAAAAGTAAATTTTCGAACCAAAATTGAAAGCCGAATTCTGAAATATTTTCGCCCAAAGACCATTATCAGTCTTTATCTGGCCTTTTATTAAAGCAAAGCCATTATGAATGTATCTAGATATGTAATTTGAATAATGGTCATATCTCGGGAGTAAACAGCCAGAAAGTTTTATTTTGTTGGACACCTAATTATTTCATTTGAAGACGATCTAAGCCAAATCGCACAAAATTGAGCAGAAGTATTTTGCTAGCAGTATGTCATTTTTCGGCGTTTGTTAATTTGATTGTTATATGTTATTCTGGAAACGCAGGTATAACCCAACAGTGCAGTATCAGCGTCCAGATTGCAAGCAAAATATTACACATATGTATTTAAGATTGTCTTGCATACTTATGCTTCGGTATACTGACAATAACTGACAGCCTGAGCAACGTAATCAATTCGGATAAGCGCTTAGTGAACATTTTGTTTGGTTGAACCATTATACTTCTGCTTCTCAAAAAGGATCAAAACCGACTGTACAAAGGCCAAATCATATCTTCTGTTTTCACATTAAACCCCCTTAAAATCGAGTGTTATGAACAATAGTCTTCATCAATGTGCAACCTTAGTTACCAATTCTGAGGCATTGTCGTACACCTATGCATTGACAAAACTTAATGCATTGCTTTTTTTACGACACCAGCGGTTTGACTAGCCTAAACATTTCGGTTAACTTTGTTTTTATACCTAATAGTGTTCCCTTCTGTTCCCTTCTTATTCCCTTTTGTTTAGCTTCCCGTCTTCCGGTGGACAATGTTTACAGTAAGTTATCAGTGTATTCAAAAACGATGCACCTTAACAAGAATATTTTTACATAAATTGGAGCATAGGTCACCCAACCGTTTTTCTACAACGTAACTGGAAAACACCCCATTAGTGTGGGGAATAACAAGTTACCAACAACACCATGTGTTACACATCACTAGGTACGATGTCAATTGTCATTCCCTTGACTGTAAACTTAAATCAGGATTCGATAAGTGCGGCTACACTGAATACATCGTCGTTTAAAATGTAATATTCCTTTTCCTTAACCATAAGGGACTGCATTGAATAGCATTAAGCTGATGTTCGACTGATTCCATTGTCACGGTCCATTGAAAACACAAAAATAACACAAAATACCAGAGGAAACTGAGTACCTAAGTTAATCGTTTCAAAATATTCAAAAAAAAACAAAGGATTAAGCGATATGCAACAGAAAATTAATAACCTGCGTGAATCATCATCAACCAATAATTGGGTGGGATGCGGAGTATTCACCAGCTGATTGGTAGCGCACATATGCGTAATTTTGCAAAACCAAGGAAATATAACGCAGCGTTAACCGCGGTCACTTAGCTTGTAGGATTATAATGGCAAATAACCCACTGAAACGAGACATTTCGGATGCAGTCCAAGTGATTTGTATGGTTGATGTTTACTTCAAAGTTGGCAATGGCCCCAATCGAGATTGCGGGTCGCACCTGAGAAACACTGTGGGTACCTCGAAAGGCAACAGTCGACCTGGTCAAAGTAGGTATGTGTAACTAGGCTGATGTTATATCCATATTGTGAGCCAGGTACCTGTCTGCATTCTTACGCTGTCCAATTTGGGTGTAGCCAATCCTTCAATTGGTATGCGATCACCAACACGATGCCTAGGAATACATTCGGAACCGAAAATCCCATCGGTTCACCCTAAGCAGTGTTGTGCGTGCAAGACTGTGTAGCAGCATCCTCGGTAATTCGAGAGACTTAGAACATCCATGTTCAGATTGAAGAGGAACCATAGGAATATGTTGTGTGTGTCCTATCTTGGGCAGTTTACTGAGCCAGCAATTGATACAGTGCCCTGAGGTATTGAACGATCTCGAACGAAAAAGCCGAACCACACTAACATCATTACACAGAAGCTGAAGGTGAGCAACACACTTTACCCATGTTGTGCCGCAATACATAAAGATATGACAAAGGAAAAAACATGAGGCTGAAAATTATAGAATGCCAACTTTTAGCGAGAGCCTACGTAGTGCCATTATGCGTCAACAGGGACATGGAGGTTGGAGGAGGAAAATAAGCGGAATGGGGTGGGACAAAGTAACTCATTACACAAGCGCCAATGTAGTCGGCTCCTCGCCTTGTCAACTAGTGTTTCCGACCAAACGAGATCATCATCGTTCGTGCCCCAGCCAGGCAGTTGGGGCACACTAACCGATACCAAATTCGAAGTGAGGGATTTCATTCCAATTGAGCAACTCACTGCTTCGCCGCCAGTCTTCTTCCATCCAAATCCCGGGGGCGCAAACAACGCACGTCGCCGGAGTTGTTGCGCTGCCATGCGCAACATTTGACCTAGTCATCGGAATCTGGTGCGTGATGTAATGTTACTGAGCAGTTCACTCCCTCTTCCTGCATCAAATAGGCGAGGCCGAACACGCTGCTTGCTCACGCCGTGCTCGCATCAGGCAACAGCTAAGCTGCAAAAGTAGCGATGATCGAAGTTGAATAACCACACCCTGGTTAAACAAATACTAGGCACATTCCGTGCATTAACAGTCCCTGCTGTGCCCGCTATCCGAAGTAAAAGATACAAATCACGCGCAATGCTGATTTTCAGTAAAGCAAATATTCCCATCGTACTCAGAAGAATCCAGACCAGAAATAAGTACGGGGTTAAGAAGTCTTTTCGGTAAACTCTCTTCAGACCCAAACATTTACATAACAATGATTGTGTGGGGTAAGCGTCAAATCCGGCTGGGATTGATTTCTAAGGTGTCTGAACGGTCAAGATCGATGACTAAATGCGGCTACACATGGAAAGAAAAGTGCACAAAAGTAAACTTAATACACAAGCCTCAGCAGCCTAAAGTAAATAGATAAGGTCACTAAGGGAACTGAGGAACCATGTCAGTCGGCCAAGGTAGTAGTATCGGCCGTTTGAATAATTTATGTTCACATAATTCCGGCTTCAGATGGTGGATGTAAATGGCCTCCGCAATGGACAAGATTTACTTTCGGAATCCTTGCGAGAAGCGTTCAGGTAGTGAGTAGATGACTTCAAAGTCATTCTCAGATGTAGTATGGCAACCTTCGAGGAGGTGCGACGTGACTGAGCTGTTTGAGGACTCCATTTCGCCTCTGTAAAAACACCCCGGGATGTGCGCGCGAATCCTCTGGGCTAGACATCGCGTTGTGTGGCCCAATTATCGTGCACCACAAAAGCACGAGTACTGATAAACGAGAGTTGAACGGGTCAACGATGGAAGAATATGTTTCAAGGGTTTTGCCAGCAACGACTTGTTGTGATAAACAATTCTCAAGCGGTTGGCAAAATAAGTTTTTTAAACAGCGACAGCAAATAGGTCCCACCATTTATCTTTCCGAATAACCCTAAACGGTATTTGTTCAACCTTTCCAGTATAGTACTAATCCCCCGTTATCTCTAGGTCGGACAATGGATCCGGCATAGTGTTACTAGATAGGGTGGACTTTATAGATAAAATGCAACACATCCTCAGTGACGAACGTAAGTTCCAGAAGCTTGTGGCTGGAAAGGACAACATAGGGGAGTTAGAAAAACAGTTGACCGGCGGCCTCAGGCGAATGATGCAATCAAACTTATCACAAAGAGCGAATTCGAAAAGTTGAAGACTTCAGGTGGACCCCTTGCGAGATTATATGGCCTTCCTAAAGATCACATGAAGGCCCCCCAATGCGTCCAACCTCGGACATGGTGGTTTCTCCACAGTATTTGTTGGCCCAGTAGATGGTGAACAAATTGCAACCGTTAAGAGCTATGGTTTGCCCTTACTACGTGAGGGACTTCTACGAATACCTTGAGAAGATATATGGACTCTACTAACAAAAGGATGATATCTTTTAATGCCTAGTCGCTGTTTACAAACATTTCACTGCTCGAAACGGTGAATTACGTGTGAGAGTTGACCCGGCAACTACCAATATACGTTACTTTTCCAGAGGATCTGCTAAAGAAGATACTATTTGGCTGCACGTTAAATGTTCAGTTCACGTTCAATGGTGCGATGTATCGTCAGATTGATGAAGTGGCCATGGGAGCTACTTTGGGGCCGTTGTTGGCTGACCTCTTTATGGCGAAATTGGAACGTGGCCCACTGAGGACACATATCAGTGAAACTGAAATGTACATACGGTATGTCGACGACACCTTCGTGCTTTGTAAATCATAAAAGCATGCAGAACAGTTGCTTAAGACCTTTAATGATGCATATGACAATCTACGCTTCACCTGTGAGCACGAAAATGGAAACCGGTTACCTTTCATGGTTGTAGAAGTCATCCGCAACTCGGACGGCTCATGTAGCGGAAAGGTACACAGAAAGCATATGTGGACTGGACAGGACACAGTTTCATAGCGCAGTGCCTTTACAGCACAAGAGAATTTTAATCTCATCTCTTGCCTTCAGGGCGCGCAGTATTTGTACTCCGGATTCCGTCATCGAAGAGCTACTAATAATCAGCGACGCCCTTCGTGAAAATGGTTACCGAGATTAGATTGTCATGAGGCATCTCAAAGAACGAAAGCGGAAACCAACTAGAAGCATTGCTCCCAAAAAAGAGCTGTTCATACCTTTGACTTTTATGGGCGAAACTGCAGCTGATAACTTCTCAACATCTGAAAGATGTTGAGAAAAATTATTTCGCCTCCCGCTTGAGCATTGTTCATCACAACAAGTTGCGGTTTGAAAAACCCTTGAAAGAAAGTCTGCCATCGTTGATCCGTTCAACCCTCGTTTACCAGTACTCGTGTTCCTGTGATGCAGGATAAGGGGGTCGCAAAACAAGACATCTATCCCAGAGGATCCACGAGCACGTCCCGGCGTGGATTTACAAAGGCGAAATGAGGCCCTCAAACAGCTCAATGATTTCACACCTCGAAGTGAGAATGACTTTGAACTCATCTACCAACTACCTGAACGCTTCGCGCAAAGCTTCCGAAAGTAAATCTTGTCTATTACAGAGGGTATTTACTTCCACCATATGACGCCGGAATTATGTGAACAAAATTATTCAAACGGCCGATACTACTACCTTGGCCGACTGACATGGTTCCTCAGTTCCCTTAGTGACCTTATCTATTTACTTTAGGCTGCTGAGGCTTGTGTATTAAGTTTACTTTTGTGCACTTTTCTTTCCATGGTAGCCGCATTTAGTCATCGATCTTGACCGTTCAAACACCTTGGAAACCAGTCCCAGTCCGGTTTGACGCTTACCCCACACAATCAATATTATGTAAACGTTTGGGTCTGAAGAGAGTTTACCGAAAAGAATTCTGAACCCTGAACTACTTTCTTGTCTTGTTTCATTTGATAAATAATACCAGCAAATGACGAAGTTACTAGTTGCCATCCTCATCTTAAATGTGTTAAGCGCCAATTTGATAGTTCCACAGATTTGCTGTTGATGCTGATTAACTTCGCTGACGTTTGTTTGAATGAAGGTTGTCATGGATTCATTGTTTGGCTATTATCACCCACCGGTTGATGCAAATGGTAGAACCGGTTGTTTGATTATATTGTGACGCTATCGCGCCTTGGGTCCTGATTGTCTCCGAGCAGATGAATTTTGTTCATTACCGTAGTCGATCTTTTGTATCAGTCAATTGTGTTCAACCATCGGTGCCTTCGCAGTTTGGCTCACATTTGGTGGGAACACCGCGTGAGTATCGAGCGTGTTCGAAGCCTTGTTTATGGCACAGGAAAAGGAACTGAACCGCTCAGCACCGTCATTTCACGCACCAG